TTCACAACAATCTGTTGTTGATAGTGATTTTTTTAGGAATTTTTTTTATTATTTTAACAAATATTTACTTACTATTAATAATTTCCTGCTCTTTATATTATTTTTCCTTTTATGTGTAAAAATATTGTGGAAAAATCCTTTTTTCTTCCTGCAAACTGCAGTTGCATCCTCTGCTGCAGAATATACTTAAAGTTACTGTCAAAAAAACAGCTGTTACAATTGAATTGAAATGCGCAATTCAACCAAATACTGACCTGCCTCTACTGTAGTAAATTTAAACTAAAAAAATACTGTTATTTTCAATTCAAAACTTAAGAAATATTGACTTCTTTTAACTACAAATTGAGAAAGTGAATTGAGTCTTAAAGCAAAGTTTAAACTGATAAGAATTTGTTTAGTAGGTACCTAAAATAATTTTTTATAATTATCTCTCTTTACAGTTGAAATTATAAAAAAAAATGAAACGTTTGTGTAATTCAGCAGCAACAGCAGATAATTCGTTAATCAAAAAGCCCTCAATACAAGACTTAAGTCAAACAACATGTGAGGAATCTTCAAAGTTAGCGAAAGAAGAAGATCCCATTAGTGATGTTGAGGAGGAAGTGGAGACAGAAAGGTATTTGAATATTATTAAAGATTAATTAAACATTCATATTTTCTTATTTCGTCTAAAGTTCTTCCAATGCTATTAACACCCGCCTGGGTAAATGCGAGGTATGTGCCGCCCGTGAGGCTGTTTACACTTGTCCCAAATGTGAGGTTAAAACCTGCTGTCTAGATTGTGTGCGTATACACAAAAAGGAGCTGGAATGTGATGGCATACGTGATCGCACCAAGTTTATTCCGCTCAAACAAATGACCAAAATGGATTTTATGTCTGACTACTATTTCCTAGAAGAATGCACTCGTTATGTCGAGGATCGTAAAGTGGATCAAATTAAAAAGTATACACGTTATAATCGTGATTTACCTTTACATCTAAATCGTTTGCGTAATGCTGCCAAGGAACGTGATATTACTCTTAAATTTTTATTGCAAAATTTTGCCCGCCATAAAGAGAATACCACATATTTTGATTGGCGTACCAAGAAGATCCATTGGCGTTTGAAATGGGTTTTTGTTAATGCGGGGAATTTATGTTATACCGATGAGAAATGTTTGGAAGATGAATATTTAAGGGATTTACTTAAGAAATATGTAGACAGGGATGAGGTAGCGGAGAATGTACCGGAGAAAAGAAAGTTGGAGTATTATCAAAGTAAAGGAGTGCAGAAGTTGAAAGTAAGTCCTATAGATTATACTATAGTCCAGATTATATACTATTCTATAGTCTAGGCTATAAACTATTCTACAGTCTAGACTATAGACTATTCTATAGTCTAGGCTATAGACTATTCTATAGTCTAGGCTATAGACTATTCTATAGTCTAGACTATAGACTATTCTATATTCTATAGACTCTTCTATAGTCCAGACTTCTATAGACTCTTCTATAGTCCAGACTATAGACTCTTCTATAGTCCATACTCCAGGCTATATACTATTCTATAGTCCAGACTATATACTATTCTATAGTCCAGACTATAGACTATTCTATAGTTCAGACTATAGACTATTCTATAGTCCAGACTATAGACTATACTATAGTCCAGACTATAGACTATTTTATAGTCCAGACTATAGACTATTCTATAGTCCAGACTATAGACTATTCTATAGTCCAGACTATAGACTATTCTATAGTCCAGACTATAGACTATTCTATAGTCCAGACTATAGACTATTCTATAGTCCAGACTATAGACTATTCTATAGTCCAGACTATAGACTATTCTATAGTCCAGACTAAAGACTATTCTATCGTCCATTCTATATATTCTATAAGCTATATTCTATAAGCTATTCTATAGTCCAGACTATACACTATTCTATAGTCCAGACTATAGACTGTTCTATAGTCCAGTCTATTGACTATTCTATAGTTTTTTAGATTTTTTTTTTTTATTTTTTCTTATTTTTCTTTTTATTTCTAGGTTTTACTTAAAGCCGAGGGCATTAAACGCTGTAAAGATCGTTTTTACTTACTGGATGTTAATAAAACTTTAAAGGCTAATCTCTCAGGGAAGACTTTAGTAGAATATCCCTGGATTTATGTCAGCTATGAAGAAGACTGTAATGGTTTTGATGTTATAGATAGTGGTGAGTTTAAGAGATTTGGAAATGAAAAAAATTGGTATTAACTATATTTTTCTCCAGATGAAGATGTAGAGGCTGAGGCTAGAAAACATGAAACTAATTTAGAAGAATATCGTAAAGAAATGTTGAAAAAACAAAAAAGAGCTGCAGAGGGAGATGAAGAAGATGAAGAGGAAGATAAAGAATCAATTGAGAAATTGGCTAGTGAAAAAAGAAAACAAGAGAGGCAGCTTAAACGTGAAGAATATGAAAAAGCCGCCAATAATTTCCTGTTTAGTGATGAACAACTAATGGAGGTTTTATCTTCTTCCTCAGAAGAGGAAGTATAATTAATAAAGATCTTCTTATTTAAGTTTATTATAGTTTTTTTTTATTATTTTACCTAAAATGTGTTTTTTTATAACTTTTTTCGTCTCATAAATATTTTCTTTAATTATCAAGGTTTTATTTTCTTATAAAAAGGAATTATTATTATGTTCATCTTTGTTTTGTTTTAAAGGAAACCGTCTTAAGAAAAAAAACTAAATTAAAATATAAAATAATAAAAAAATAAAAGAAAACAATAACGACAAATAAAAAATGTGTTTTAAATTTAAATGGATTTGAGTTAATTAAAACATCAATCAAATTAGAAATTAAAGGAATTTTTTGTTGCTTTTCAAAATTTACTTTAACTTGCTTTATACCCTTATATTTATAGCTTTTGTTTAACGTGTTAAATGTTTATTGTGGTTTTCTTGTTATAGTTATTATTGTTGTTGTGGTTGTTGTTTAGTTTAGCAATATTACAAAACCCAGAAATATAAAATAAATACTATAACAACAATACCGGCAGCGGCTGCTTTAACATACATAGATTTACGATTTAAATAGGTGGCGTCTTTTTTATATTTCTGCGACATCATGGAAAGATTTTGGGTCTTGGTATCAAGTTCTTTTGGAAAATTGAATTTAGAAAAAAAAACGAAAATTTAAGTAAAAAAAACTTAAACTTACCAGATAAAACGGTGCCACGCTGGAGGACATCATCGATGTTTTGCACCTTTAAAGTAAAAAGAAGAAATTTTTTATAAAATTAGATTTTTTTGAAAAGGTAGTATTTTTACTACTATTTTTACATAAAATTTTTGGCTACTATATAGTACTTTTCATTAAAATTAAAATATTTTTTGAATTTTTGGGAAAAATTTTGGTTTCTAAAAAAAGTAGTATTTCTACTACTATTTTTTGTATGAAATTTTTAGTTGAGAACACGTATTTTTTATTAAAAATCAAATATTTTATAGATTTTTGAGAAAAAATTTAGTCTTAAAAAAGTAGTATTTCTACTACTATTTTTCTGTATGAAATTTTTGTCTACAATCAGGTATTTTTTTAATAAAAATCAAATATCTTATGAATTTTTGAGAAAAATGTTGATATTTAAAAAAGTAGTATTTCTACTACTATTTTTTATATGCAATTTTTTGGCTAAAATTACGTATTTTTTATTCGAAATCAAATATTTCGTTGATTTTTCATAAAATTTTAGAGTTTTATTATTTTTTGGTATGAAATTTTTGCGAAAAATAGTGCATTTTTTATTAAAAATCCAATATTTTGTTAAATTTAAAAAAAAAATCGATTTAAAAAAAAATTTGTATCCACAACTATTTCTAGAACGCTTGCATTTCGAAAAAGAATAGAAAAATCATTTCAAATACGATTTTCGGCCAAAATACACATTTTTAAAAATTAGTATTCTAATACCTTTTTTAATGGTATTCATTTTCATAATATTGCTAATTTTTATGAATTTTGAGTGAAACAAACTAATTTTTCTTGTTTTTGTTAACATTCCATAAATTCTTGCTTGTTTTGTTTGACACTGTAGTCTAAGGGTCAGTTTTAATGACTGTAGATAAAATTGCTATTAATTTAATTATAAAATGTACGTAAGTATGTAAACTCTTGTGTTTTATATTATAGTATAGTTTCTTAACAAAACTCACCATAATCCTTTGAACATCCTGTAACTGGGTATTGATGGTATTTATATTGCGTCGACGATCGGTGAGTTGTTTTTTGGCTTTTTGTATATAAACATCGAATTCGATAAAAGCATAAGGTCGTGTCACTGAATTAACTTTACGGCCATAATTGGCATGGAATTCTTGGGCTAAATCTTCCAAATAGTTAAAAGCCAAACGTTTGGAATACATTTTATCACACATAACTAAATAACAAACATCATTTTCGATTAAGTAGCTAGAAAATTAAAGTTTTTTAAATATTTATGTTATTTTTCCATAAAATAAAGCTTACTGGAATAGATATGGTCCAGTTTCTATACTACAGCGGGCCGGTGAATGTGAACCCAATTTACGAAATAACATTTTGGCTTGATTTTGATATTCCATAATACTGCGGCCACTCTTTAAAGAGAAAAGTTTTCAAAAAAAAGAATTTAGTAGTCAACTTAAGGGATATCACACCTGTTCATCATCCTGCATAGTGCCCACCAAAGGTAGGCCATCAATTACTCTAGCTATCATTGTCAGCAAAGCCATGTTGGCGTTATTTTTTCTTTTGTTTCTTTTTTTATAAATTTAACTATTTTAATAAGCGGTATACTGCCTTAAGCAGTTAAATTTTGTTTAAATTTTATTACTACAACAAATGATGAAATGTTTTGTTTAAAAAAACACGAATAAAAAACTTTTATTTAAACTATTGCAATGATTGTAGTATTTTGGCCAGGCACACGTCAGCTACGTCAACAAAAAGTCAAAAATAAAATAAAATGTCAAAAAGAACCGTGTAAAAACGGCCACAAATAAAACAACAGGGTGATTACATATTAATTAATTACGACACAGCTGTTTTGTGAGAATTAGTAAACAAAACAAAATTAACAATAATTTAGCTATTGCATTATCTTTTTTCTTTCTTAATTTCTATCAGTTTCTTTAAAATTTTCTTATTGGATTCATATTGGATTGTTGGCACAACGAAGAGCGATATTTAAGAAAAATTATTAAGAAAACGAAATTAAAAAAAAAACAAACGATTAATGCTTTAAATTGTTTAATAATATGTGTTTAATTTGTTTAAAATTGTTATTACTAAATTAATTAGCAGCATTTAACAAAATTTTGTAAGTTTTCTTATAAGAAAAAATGAAATTTTTAAGGGTGAAAGTTAAAATAGAAAAAGACCAAAAGCGTAGAAAAAAATTCACAGAGATGTTTCATAAAAGTAGTAAACTTAAAATGCAAATAAAATGTTAATAATTTTAATTTATAAGCTAAACATGTTTACACAATTATGTAATTGTTATTTTGTAATGTTATTTTAACATAATTTTTGTTGTTTTTTGGTTTATTTATAAAAAATTATTAAATTTTTGTTTTATATATAGTAACATATTTTACAACTGTGTTTATTAAATTGACATTTTATCGTTTTTTATATTTTGCCTTCCTTGACATTTTCGCTAAGCTCGTTTCGTCTAGTTCGTGTATGCAGGAAAAGTTTAATATTTTTAGTGAAAAAAATCCTTAAATAAACTAAAAATTTTCCACAAAACTTACAAATTATTAAAATACTATGTGTTTTTAATAAATTTAAAAGAAAAAATCATAAAATTGTTAAAGTTAAATAAGTGAATTTCTTAAAAGAAAAAAAGGTAAAGAAAAATTTTCATCACTCTCTGGCACTTGTAACAAGGTGCCAACGTATACAACGTAGTATGTGTGTGTGTATAAGTTGAAAAAAGGTCCACGTAAACTTTATTATGGACATTCATTCTCACTTTTAATTTTATTATTAAAATAATGTATTAATAAATTGCCCAAGTGTTTCTTAATAGTGTAGTGTACATACATTTTTGTTGGTAAAATAACAAAAAAACCTAAAAACATAAAAAAAGAAAATATTTGTGTATGTACAAAACATACGTCAAATAAGGTTTTGAGTTTTTGTAGTTATTGTAATTATTTCTTTTATATTTTAACATAAGTGTGTAAGCTTGTGTGTGGGGTTTTTATTTTTTTCATTTTTTTTTTTTGCATTATCATGTCTTGTTTTTATTTCTTATGTTTTTCATTATCTGTCCATTTGTTGTTGGTATGATTTTGTTTTTGTTGTTGTTATTTATATGAAAAGTTTGTTTGTATTCCTGTGTGTGTTAAATTTACAGGGGTGCATTCAACTTTTCTTTGGAATTGGGGACAAATTATATGTTACTGTGTGTAAATAATCCGGTTTTTTTGCTTTACATTTAAGAAAAATCAATACAATTTTATTTAAAAGGTATTTTTTATAAATAAACTAGTTTACTTTGTTAATTAATGATACATTTAGCTTCTAGACTGTGTTTAACCTACAAAAAGTTGTTCAATTTAAACATAAGACATGTCTTGGGTCCATCATAAGAAACCACCACCACCTACCATTAACTCATCATCACCCTCAACATCATCTTTGACATCATATTCATCATCTCCTAATTATAATAATACACTATACAATACAACAAATCGTAATGGCTCTACCCCACGGCAGGCTTTACAACAATATACAACAAACACTGCTACACCTCCTGCAAACAACAACTCCCTGTTGATGACGTCACCGTATTCTACTAATAGAGCAAATACTAGCTTGAAGTCCACTACAGCCATGCGTTTAAATCCTACATCACCCTATCAGCAGCTGCAACAGCCTCCACCGTCAGCAGCAGTGCAACGTCATCATCCTTCTCAACCTCATCAGCAACAACAACAACTTCATAATGCTTTACAAGCTCCATTGCATACAGCCAACTCGGCAAGTTCTGCCAGCACTCCTATGCAAACAGTTTTTAATAAAAACAATCAACAGGTAAAGTGTTTGTGTTTATTAGCTTACTCCCTATTAAACACCTACCAACTTCCTGGCCTCTTTCCTCCCTCTTGATCTTAAATCTTACGAGTGTTGTGTTCAGATTTGTTTGCAATTGTTATTGTTTGTATTATTTTCAAAATTTCATCTTTCTCATTTTCGGGTTTTCTATACTTATCTTTATCAATTGTTTATTTTTTATAACTTTTTTATGGGCTGAGTACTTTTTTTTATTATTTTTAAGTTTTTTTCTTATTTTGTTTGTTTTGGAAATCTTGGAATTTTTATTGGTATTTTAAACAAAATTATTTAATTTTTTATATAGTAAATTTATGAAATTTATTTTAATGGGGTTTTTATGCAAAATTTTTATATAACAAGGGTTTTATTTTAAAAGTAAATAAAATTATCTTTAAATAGGGTTTTATTTTGAAAAATAAACTTTTTTTTATAAAAATTGGGTTTTATTTTATATTTTTATATTTTTTTCAATAATGTTTAGCAAAATCATTTACATTTTCTAAAAAAAATATTGATTTTCTAAAATATTTCACTTGGTCTCCAATTTTTTTACTCTACCAGCAAAACTGTGCTTAATTTTTCTTGTTTTGTTTACATATTTTAAGTGGACTCCAATCTTAGCACTATAGCTATTGAGCTGTGCT